TGGTCTGCTGGCTCCCCCAGCAGACCAGGGAGACGGGGAGCAGCTTTTCTCGCCCCGGAGGAGGCGGGCGGCGGGACCAGGCGTCCCACCACTCCAGTCCTCCGGGGCGAGAAAATCCCCGTTCGTAACTGCGGATCCGACGTAAGTCGGGGACTGCCTGTATAGAATGCATCGAGGATAAGTTAAACTAAAATAATAGAGAAATTATATTTTCTTCTAATCTTTCAGTTGTAACATTTGTTGCAATAGTAGGTATACATTTTTAGTGAGAAATACTTTTTTTTTTTCACCTAGTTGACTGGATCAAGTTATTACTCTTTTTTAAAAATGTGAAATATATTGCTGTGCAGCTGCCAGAATGAAGGATGTAAGTATCGAGTAATTGACTAATTGTGTACTCAATACAATTTGTATCCGGTACCCAATCAGTTGATAAGGGGCCTCTGTGGCTCTGCAGATTCAGTGTAGCAGAAGCTGGGCATGCAGGCAGCATGGCTCTTACTACATTTAAACTACAGAGCCGCAACAGGACTAGGTCTGGGACCTGGCATGAACCAACTGCTTTAGTCCCAGCTTGTGCTGGGTCCTGGGCAGCTCTTACTACATTTACAAGGCAGAACCGCAATGTCGCTGTGCCTCTGCCTCACCTGCACTGCAGAGACGATGCTGGGGGGAACTGGCTTTTAAGCTGGCTCCCTCAGCACTGCCTCCCGCTTCTCTCCCCCCCCCCCCCCCCCCCCCCCTTGCTGCTTCTGATACAGACACAGCAGGGAGCAGGGGAAATGCGAGTAGTGAAATCGACTGCCTGATAAGTCTAGGCTTCTCTGGTAGTTGACTACTCTCTCTTACATCCGTAGCCAGAACTAGTCAGCGAAAGAAGTCTGTGAAAGAGAGGAAAGAAGGAGTTTGTAATGATCTACCCAAGTGTAATACCTTGGCAACACAGTGGCAGATGAAAATTAATACACCAAGGCAGTGCACATTGAAGGGAATAATGTAACCTCAGTGCATCTATCTCGATAACCTTGTTAATCAAGAACAAAGGCTCAAAGTGAAATATTTAAAACTGATGAAACAAATTGTTGGGTGCATTTAGAGTTGTTAGCTATAATCAATCCTATTTTTAGATATACTTAAGATTCCTTTAATGTGCTAAAATAAAAAGGAAACTTTAGTGAAATGAGAAATTTCCTACACTGCAGTATAGATCTCTTCCTCTGCCATGCGTCCCAGTGACTTTGGTTCTGACCATATAATAAACCACAGACAAAAAGCGGGTGGTGGGGAGGCGGGAGGGAGAAATGCAAAGTAACCAGTGAGGGTTAGCATTAGCATTTTAGTGAAGCTAATATATTGTTGTAGCTTGGGCTTTATTTTAGATTAATTTTGGGTTTGGTCATCGAACTTACATGATACATCAAGGGACCCCAAAGTCTTTGTAGTTTAAGTAATATGTGTGTGTGTGTGTGTGTGTGTGTGTGTGAGAGAGTGAGAGCATTCAAGCCTCATGGAAGGATTGGAGTCTATCAGATTTTTTTTTCCACTACAGCCCGTTTTTTGCACTTTTTTATATATATACAAGTTAATGCAAATTCAAAAGGACATAGTCTACTTAGCCCATAATACTTTTCAGTAAGTTAGTTTTGTCATTGGCTGAATATCTGATACCACAGTATTTAAAAATTATGAAAACCAAACATGTAATCTTGTAAAGAGTGTGATGGTGCTCATTCCTAGCTTGCTCAAGCTTTAGTATTTTGGCAGATCTTAAACTGGAGATGGCCATGGATTTGATTTCCTTTTTTTTCTGATGAACTTCTTTAGGAGGCTTGGTTAATAACTCAGCCTTAAAAATTGTGCCAACTCTGGTCGTCTTTTGCTCTGCAGACTACTGCAGCTATTCTCTGGGTTGTGATTAATTTTTAAGAAATAATTAAGGCTGGAGAATGATGTAACTGAAAAAAATTCAATGTTACATTGTCAACAGACTTTTACAATCAGTGAGAACTTAAGATATTTGAAATGTTTATTGTAAAACAGACTGAAAAAAATCCATGTTTTGAAACTGGCACTTATATCAGTTTTAAAACAAGTGTTCTAATTCCTACATTTTTTTCAAAATTGAAGTAAAATTTTTATGACAAAGTATGTATTCACGTATAGTGTATGCAATAAATAATTTGATTTTCTTAAATTGAGAAACACAGTGGGTCATGAATAATAAATTTAATTGAAGAGATACTGTCAGGTATATATCTTGAATTTTGTTTAAAAAGCCATGAAAAACCTAATATATATATATCTATATATCTGTATGTATATATAAAGAGAGAAATATTTTGACTAAAAATTAAATGAAATGAACTATAAACAAATATGAAACTGACAAAGCTAATTTCACTGTACCAGTGAGTTAATGTTGAAAAACTAAATTTTCAGGTTTTTCAGCCAAATTTTAAATTAATAGCATTATAAGTAAAAGCAAGAACACCTATGGAATTGTGCATACTAAGAGTGCAGTTATATATATGTAGCCTGACAGTGTCCATCATTTATCAAATCCCTGTACTTTCATTTTCCAGCTGAGTTTTAACTTTGCATGTGTTTCCGTGAAATACAATATTAATATTGGTTGTTTCCTGGAAGCATTTTGGAGCTATCTCTTAGATTTTAATTTGGAAAGTGATTAGTAATCACAAGATATAAAAATAAATTTCACTTTTGTGGAGGATTAGTGGGTTACTAACTAATGAAAAAGTGAGGTGCAATGTGATTCCATTTTCTACTTCTAATTATTCAGATGCATATATTTAATCTCTTATAAATTAGTTAATTAAATTACAGCTGTGTCTTTAATAGAAATCCTTCCCTCTTGGAAGGGCTTAATGAAATCTAAAACAAAACCAGAATTCAATAGACCTAAATGTTTCCATTACAATAGGTACTTTTTACCATGACCTGTTACATAGAGCAATTTGTAATACTTAATACTTGTCCTTAGTTTATCATAGGCACCTCAGTGAAGTAATTTCCTTGAAGTAATGCCCACAGAAAGTGGAAGTTGTGCAACTGCTCGGCAAGCAAAGCAGAAGCGCAAATCACACAGTCTTTCTATACGAAGAACCAACAGTTCTGAGCAAGAAAGGACGGGATTGCAAAGAGACATGTTGGAAGGGCAGGTAAACCAACAGATTGATATTTAAGAGTTAATTTCCTAAAACGCTTTATAAATAAAGAAACTGTCTTATTTCTTTGTGTACAGAAAAACAAGTACAGACTTAGGTCAAGAAGAATATCTAATGAATCTAGAACTTTAAGTGGAGAGATTAATGGGAAAACTTTACAAATTATGGTGCAATGCCCCTAAGAACATTTCCAATAAATGTGGTTAAGCTAACTAGTTTTAATAGTCAAGCCATGTTTAAAAACAGTCTGTACAAATCATAGTCAAGTATAAATGAGATCACTGCATTTCCTTTCAGCCAGGGAATGACAAATCCAGAATCCTTGTGTAACATTCATTTACCTGCTGAGAACTCTGGTGACAGATACAAATGTAATGCCATTTTAACTTGAAGTTATTTAGAATTTGTAAAGAAACAGAGTGGGAAGAAGATAATTCAGTTCCTAACAGCAATTACCTTCATGTACTGGGTAATATGGACTTAGCAAAAAATATCAGTTCTCTAGCTAGATTGTCCAGGAGAGATGACTTTGAAATATTAAGAATAAAATATTGGAAAAAGAAGACATGAACTTCTTTGTATTCACATCTTCAAATGAAAAACATGTCTAATTGTGCTAGGCTCTCTGAAAAGGTGTTCCCATCTAAGGAGACAAGAATGTCATGCTTCATTTTTTCTAAACAGAAGCTAAATTCCTTGTAATGAAGCATATAATGTTGCTTGTTTGGACTTGGTAACAAGCTTTTTTAAAAGTTTGGGCTAATGTGTAACATACACCTAAAGAAACCTATACTGTTTAACATTAATCCTCACAGTCACAGTTAGTCTTCGTTTATTTTTGAGCTCATTATATAAATAATCTATTTTTGTATCTCCTGTTTTGTTAATTACTGAGTAAGTAATGTTTTTTGTGAGCATATTTTCTTATCTTTCTTTTTTTCCTGACTTAAACAAGCATTAATAAGGGACAGTGGGATACTATCCTGGCCTAGTAGAAAGGACACACGCTGGGTTATTTTGGATTACTCCTGGCATTGGTCTAAAGCCAACCAGGACACACAAGGGCACAACCTTGAGAGGTTAAGAGCTACTGGCACTTGTAATTCTATATGGTAAATATTAAAATAAATTCAAGATGGGGAGTTTTGTTTAATATCAAATAATATAAACAGGAGGCTAGTAAGCTAAGGGTATGTCTACACAACAATGTAAGCCTAAGGTTAGTGGGACTTGAGTTAATTGACCTCTGTGAAGGAACTCTGGGTTTTAGTGTCTGTATTGCATGTTAACTCTAGGTTAAGAATTTTCTGACCTGTACTCAAACCGATGACTCTGGTTTCCACTCTGCAGTGCACAGACCCCAGTCAAAGTAACCCTCCCCAGAATGGCTAGTAAACCCTGCCTTGACACACTTTCCTGCACTCTAACCCTATGAAAGCTTTGCACTGTGGTAAAATATTATTGTCCACTGTTGCCTAACTGTGATGGTGCTATTGATGGGCCTCAGGTACACATGTACATAATTAGCTCCTTTACTGGCTGTTCAAGGGTTGTTAAAACAGTTATTCATTTAACAGTTTTAACTCGGGGCTCACTACCCTGCTGCAGCTGTGGGGTCCTGCTTCTGCTCCCACTGGCCCTTCCGTGGCCAGTGCTTTCCTGGCCAAGTGCGGCTGTCTGCTGCTGGAGATCACTGGTCAGGTCTGATTTACTGTTAAGCATATCAGTAAGCCTCCTGCTAAGTGCTTAACATACCTCATGTCAGTAGAATGAATGTACTTTGAGAAGGCTTTTTACTGAACTACAGCTTGAACCTCTCTATTCCAGAACTCTGATCCAGAAACATCTGTCATCCATAAGGCACTTTACCTGCACAGGTTGGCTACAGCAGGGAGCTAGTCAGGCAGCCCTAGTCAGTTGGTGCCAGCAACTCCTCCTGCAGTTAAGAAGGGTGCGGAACCAGGAGGATAGAGAGGCGAGCCAATTGCAGGAGTGGGAGGAAGGGAAGCCCCCAAATACCTTCCCTGCCCAGAAAATGGAGGAAGGGGCAGCCACAGCTGTGCAAGCCTCGTTTGGAGCTGCTTTTTCCTTCTCACTTTTGTGTGGCCCCTGACTGATATTTCTGTGGGTTAGTGGCTCCCAACTTTAAAAAAGGTTCCTCATCCCTGGTTTAACCAATAAGCTGCTGCTTAATGCTTACTGTTAATGTTTACATTCTCCTGTTGGGACCCCGCTGGTGGCAGGAGGGGGAGGAGCCTGAGAGCCCAGGGTTGGGGGAACCCTTCAAGAACCCTTTCCTTCCTAACCTTATGGCCTCTAAAACAGTCAATCATGTAACTGATAGTATTTTGATAAGTTACATGATGTATCATTTTGTATATTTTTTACTTTCTCAGATCTTGCTAATATTTCTCATCTTTTGAGCACAGAGAAAAGTGGCTGACTCATTTTTAAGGGAAGCTGTGAAACTGATTAGATACAAATTACTGTCAGTTATCCAAATTTAAAGGAAGAACTGTAGTCAGACTATACCAAAAGCACAGGATTATGACTAAAGCATTTTTGTTTTTGTGGTTTTAGATTAGATTAAACTGATTTAAAGGCATACTAGACTTTTTTTCTCTCCTCTATGGGGTAGAGTTGAGATTTCTCAGGGGTTGTAACTGCACATCCATGCCTTGGCATATTTCAATTTTTCTGTTGTATTCAACCCCTATCTCTGATTTTCAATTAAAAAGCAGTATTATAAATTCAATAAACATTTGTGTGGTATGTGACCCTAAATCACTGATACACGTTTCCAGTCTGAAATTCATTTTAATATAGTTTAATCTAGGATCTCTTTTTTGTTTTTAATAATTCCATACACAAACATTAAACAAGATCCTACAAAGTACCTCGTGAGACTACATACCAGTCATTCCAGCTATTGCAAATAATTTGTTAGGGTTAGATTCACTTGCTTGCTTTGAATCCTCTCCAACACTTGGGAGCAGCACAAAGCATCTAGAGCAGGGGTGAGTAATAATTTTTGATGTGGTGGGGCCACTCCAAGAGTTTGGAAAGAGTCAAGAGCTGCATTCTTCCATATCAGTGGAGGAGGTGTGGGGTCTGGGATTGAGGTTGGGTGCAGAAGGGAGCTTGCAGTAAGGGACTGGGATGCAGGAGATGGCGTGGGATCTGAAGGGGAGTTTGGGTGAAGGAGGCAGTTGTCACCTGGGTTGGGGAACTAGGATGCAGAAGTTTGGATTGTGACCTTGGGCAAGAAGGGGTTGTGACTAGGGTTGCCAGGTGTCCTGTTTTCGCACCGTCTGTCTGGTAGAAAAATTCAGAAAATGCCGGACATATGCAATGTCTGGTATTTTCTGAATTCCCGGCTGGGCGCCGGACAGAAGCCTGGCAGGGGTGAGGGAGTGCCTGGGAGGCGGGGCCGCGATTGGCGCTGGGAGCCCTGTGGTCGCACGCAAAAGCCAGGCGGGGTGAGGCGGAGCAGGAGCTGGGACTGTCCCACCTTCCAGCTGGGAGCCTCTGGTTGCATGCAGAAGCAGTCAGTCTGTGGCAAGTGGCTGCACCCCCCCGCCAGGTCTGCTTCCTGCCCCCCTTCCTCCGGGCCCCCCTCTCCTCCGGTCCAGCCCTGCGGCTCCCGATCCCCCTCCCCCAGCTCTGCTTCCCGGCCCCCCCCGCCCTCTGGATTTACAGCAGTTTAGCAACACCAAAGCTGCACAAAGCAGTTGCAGTGTACATCCTGCTTTCTCCTTCTGCTGCCCTTCTCCTTCATCACCAGTTAGCCCTGCTTCCCTGTCTTCCTCTCTAGATTCAATAGGCAGTTATTTTGGAGAAAAATGTTTAGAATTAGTGCCCATTTGCTGTTCAAGTGCTTGCTCATGTTGATTACATTCTAGGTGTTTGATCATCAGAGATTTTTGCCTCTGCAATATTGGTAGGGCTGGCCATGGCTGTGCTCAGATATCAGGCATTGCCAGCGTACACCAGCTTTATTCCTTTTTACTGCCCATGGTGGTTAGTTTGAGCAACCATCTTTGTAAGGGTAGTATTTGGCTTTGATTCCATTGAAAACTGAAAAGTAGGTGGCCATCTTGGGAGAGCTTTGAAAAGTTGAAAGATTTTTCTATGTTTGGAAGAGTGAGAACATTTGACATCCCATGCTAAATTTCTCTAAGGCCCCATTTTTAATTACCTTTGAGACCAATTCATTTATTTGTAAATTCTGCAGTTAGTTCTGTGCCCACAGAGTAAGGGCTGTAACTTTATGCAAGGATCCCTTGTATTCTCCATATATAATGATGCTAAATCTCGCCTTTATGCAGAAAACTCAGTTCAGACCGAACAGTTGATCCACGTAGGGTTGCCAGATGGTCTCCCAATAAATACCGAACACATGGGCTAAAAATTTGTCAAGGGGGGGAAAAAAAAACACCCCACCCTCACCGAACACACATCCTTTCTTTAATACTTAACTTTATTATATACAATCAACAGTCTACATCATATATTTGCATTATATTGTGCAGCTTTTATCAATTTCTTATTTTTCAAAAACTCTTCTTTGACTTCCAAACAAGTAAAAGGTATATTAAAAAACCCACAAACTTCACTTCTTACTGAATTAGCACTCAACATATTCTGTTCATCAGTCACTTCTCTTCAGGCGCAATCAGCTGAGGGCTCCCAGCGGTGATTGCGCCCCCGCTTCCCAGCCACTTCCCCCGCCTAGCTTCCGCACGCAACCATAGACTCCCAGCCTGTGGAGTCCCAGCCACTTCCCCCACCCCCGCCAGGCTTCCGTCCGGCGCCTAGACGGAAGAACAGAAAATACCGGACATTGCACATGTCTGGTATTTTCTGAATTTTTTTACCGGACAGAGGGCGCAAAAACTGGACTGTCCGGTAGAATACCGGACACCTGGCAATCCTAGATCCACGGTTAGTTCATAGAGAAACCTGTAATACAAGTTTAATTGCTCATGTGCTTTAATTTAGTCTTTCATGTAAGTGGTTCTGTGAGCTAGAGCAATGGTGTGCAACCCGTGGATCGCAACCCCCTTGGGAGGTCGCAGTTATCTTCCTGGAGGGTTGCAGCGGCTGGCATTTTCTTTTCCCAGCTCGGCATACATGTGGCGGGGGTGGGGGAAGTGGCACGGCTGCGAGCTGGCGCTTTACATTTTTTTTTTTTTTTCAGCAAAAATTTTCCTAGCTCTGGGGGTGGTAAATGAAAAAAGGTTGAGCACCATAGTGCTAGAGCATGGACACTGAGTAATTACTAGAACATTCTTTTGGTTTTCTGTTGAAACTTGTCATTGGATATATATTGCTACTCAGCCAACAGAGAGTTAACGATTTCATTTACACATAATTGTTTTACTTAAGGCAGTGAGTCCTAACAAAATTTTTGTGGTTGTGGGTTAGAAGAAGGAAATCAAATTAACTTCCGTTTCTAATATTGTTATAATTGTTAATTATATAGCTTATCAAAGCAGTTTTGACATTTCAAGAATGTCTTTTTTTACCAAGAGATGGTAAAAAAAAAAAACTTGTTCTCCTAGTGACTTCACTTCCTGATTGCATTCACTTCCCCGCCAAGTGAAGTCAGCGACTGTTGCTCTGGAGGAGCCTTTTATCCTCTGCCTAAGCACTCAGATGAAAGATTTTCTCCTTAACAGCCTTTGAAGCAATAGACAGTAGAGCTTGTTGGTAGTGCCCTTTTTCTTGGTAGGTATCTCCTGACCTAAATTTAGAATGTCTCTATTTTATTGTTGGCTTTACAACATCAGTTGAGACTTCGCTCATTTGCTTTAGTTGCCTGGCCCTGATCTTCTTGTAGCTGACATGTTCTCCACAATGTGCTTTTTTGTAGTTGCTTAAACTAGGAAATGGAGGCAGAGGCTTGAAATTTAAAAATTTGGATTTTGCCTTTTCACTTTTTTTTTAATAAAGTATTTTGTGATTAATCCCATTCTGAAGTTTGCAAATTAAAACATATGAATCTGGAAGTTAGTTAATGTTCTCAGTGTATCTTTTAAAGAAGCTAAATCCTTTTGATTCATTGCCTACTTTTTTCTGTTTTAGTCACCATCCGCTCATCAAGGTAATCAAAGGGCTTGATAACTGAGGGTATGTCGCGGGGTAATGTAGGCATACCGCACTTGCAAATGAAGGCCGGGATTTGAATTTCCCGGGCTTCATTTGCATAAGCCGGGTGCCGTCATTTTTAAATCCCGGCTAGTTCGAACCCCATGCCGTACGGCTACACGCGGCACGGAGTAGGTAGATCTAATTAAGCTTTCTAATTCGAACTACCGTGGAATGAGGAGTAACAGTAGTTCGAATTAGAAAGTCTAATTCTAACTACCAACTCCGTGCCGCATGTATCCGCGGGCACGGAGTCTGCACTAACGGGGATTTAAAAATGGCGGTGTCCGGCAAGATGCAAATGAAGCCCGGGATATTTAAATCCCGGTCTTCATTTGCAACTTCAAATGTCTACATTAGCCACCCTAGTTCGAACTAGGGTGGTAGTGTAGACATACCCCAAACTATTTGTGTTGTGAGCAGCACCGAGAAATCCCATTGCTTAAAGAGTGTGAGCAAATTTCTTCTTAAGAGATTATTCTCTAAATATATAAGGCAAAGTGTTGGGGAAAAGTAGTATGTATCCCATACTACAGATGGGCCAGTAAAACGAGACTAGCCCAAGGCCAATAAAGGAGTTTTGTGATAGAGCTTAGAATTGAACCTAGATCACTTAAGTCCCCATTAGGGATGTAAGCGACTAGTTGACTATCTGATAAGCTTATTGGATAGTCAAGTAGTGACTTGACTAGTCACTTCCTCTCCTTGCTGCTGCTATCAGAGAGAAGCACTAAGATGGGGTGGGGAGGAGGAGCCGGTGCTGCCCAGAGCTGCCTTAAAAGCGGTTCCCCCCAGCATTTCTCCGTAGGAGGCAGGGGAGGCAGAGGCACGATGGGGAAACGGCACAAATGGGGACTGAAGTACTCCCCTCTTGTGCCAGTTCCGATTGCTGTGCTTCTGCTTTTGAAATGTACTAGAACCCTTGCAGGGCTCTTGCTACATTTCAAAGGCTGAAGCGCTGCTTTTCCCCTCTGCTCTTCTGCCTTTAAAATGTAATAAGACCCTTATGGGCAGCTCTTACTATATTTAAAAGGCTGAGGCATGGCTCCCCCTTATCGGCTAATCAAGTAGTTGATGGAATTGATTAGCTGATTAATCAAAATGTAACATTCCCTAGTCCCTATCCTATGCTTTCACCACAAGAGAAGAGCCTTGTTGATCTGTAGGGAAGGAATCGGGTGAAAGGAGAGAGGAGATGGATGATGGATGGCCAAAATAGCAAACTGTTCAAAGTGGATGTTTTTTGAAGAAGTTTAGCAACCCATTGTGTTTCATATGTATTTAATTTGTCACTTTGTTTATTACAGATGGAGAGTGCCTCCTGTTTTACTAATAAACATATCGTAGGCCAGTAAAATCCACCTTTTTTAATTCATTTTTGTACTTTTAATGTATGTCTCCTTCATAAACTAGAAATATCTTAAGCTCTAATATAACACACACACTTTTAACTTTAAAAAATTACACAGGAAAAAAACAATATAAATTGCCCTCTAGCAGAAAATAAGAGATTCATTTAATTCAGCAGGTTTTATATTTGTCCTTTGTAGGCAAAACAATATGAAAATGCATCCATTATTACTTATTTGTAAAAAACAACTCAAGTGTTTTTTTGGTTGTGTTTTACATTACAGATATGTGTTCTTAGTTTTCTTTTCTACTGGAGAATGGGAGAACTGCTGAGATTTATTTAAGAGATTTGAAATTGGTCCTATAGTTTCCTTTTTCCCATGGGGAAGTTTAGTCAGATTGTTTATATCTTTGAGTTGTTTGTTGAAATCTGTTTAACTAAAGACTCAAGATAACTAGGTTAAAAAGCTTTTTCTGAAAATTAAAACATCTCCCTTAGGTCTCAGAAGCTGCACGTAGGTTTTAGTGCCACTCTCACTTGTAAGACTTCTGTTTATGGTGGAAGATGAGAGAACAATTTCCTATGATGGCTAACATGGGTAGATTTTTTTTTTTTTTTTTTTTTTGTGGAAAAAATTGGTAGTCCCCTTCCCTCCCTTGTAAATAGGGTTTGAATGAAGAGAGTTGAGACGGCATTAAGGTAGTGCCACAGAAGAATACAAAAGGGGAAGTGGAATAGGAGGTTTGAAAGAGTGAAGATGAGAGGAAGAGGAGGAAGCAATGAGCAGAGAGGTAGACGGGGAATAGTTGTGAAAAATCTTGAAACCAAGAATGAGGAAAATTTGATGTTGAAGCTGAAAGGAGGCTAGTTGAAGACTTCAGAGAGAATGATGTTAGCCATTAAATATTTTAATTATGGCATTTTTGAATAAACTTGAGCAGGACAAGAAGAGGTTGTCATAAGTTAGTGTAGGAAGCAATAATTTTAGCCATGGAGGTATGAATGATTTGAGATGTTGTCAGGAAATTACATGCACCTTGCTTACAGGTTGTAAGTATGGGACGAAGCATGAATCTATAAGTTGAAAACTTGGATAATTAGGAGTCTGGTGATAACGAAGGCTGTAGAAAGGAGATGAAATTGGAGTCTGATTTTCAGTTACATTATGTTTGGGCTGGTGCAGGAACATCAGATACTCCTGTCCCCTTTCTTTCAGTTCACCATGAGAGATAATATTGAACAGGGAAAAGAAACACCTTTCTCTTCTATTTAATTTCTAGCTTTCATAATACTGCATTATTTGGGGTGGTGTGGAAAGTAGAAATGTTAAAATATGATTATTTTTGTAAACATAAAATTTCTAACATTTTCAGCGGTTGCACATTTACACGCTTTTAAGGCAGCTTCCCACGAGCACCATTCCTGCCTGTGCTACCTCCTCCCCATGCTAATGCTTCTGTATTAAAGATATCAGCATGAGTGTGTGGGGTGCAAGTGGCTCCGTGGGAGCTGGTGTTCATGCCTTCCTTCCTCTCCCATGCTGCTACCTCAGTATCAGTGTGGAGGCAAACTTTCCTTTAGAATTTAAATTAAAAAATCATGCAGTCCTGGGGGTGCAAGTTGACAGCAGTTTGTGATTTCAAGAAATTTTGGAGTTTCAATCTTGATCACAAAGTGACTTTTCACTAAGTAAATTTATTTTTTACTTTTTTTTTCACATCTGGTGACTTGCTCTGTTAAAAATGTAATAAAAAGTTTAAATCTGTGATGTAAGTTATTGAGCTTTAGAGGTATTAAATAGATTTCATTAAGCAATTAAATACCAGTTAAAAATCTCAGGACATCACAGTGAAGTACCATATTTTGTCTTACACTTCAGCATCAGACTAAGTGAAAATGTAGTCATGCTACAGTAAAAAAAATTAAATGTTAGACTTGATAATTCTTTTGCATTCCAAGCTTGCTGCTCTGTGAACAAACTAGGGTTTAGAAATTATTTTCTTTACAAAAATAAATGTATTTTCTCCTCAGCAGTCCAATTTCAATATTCTATCATAACTTCAGGATTTACAGAATTAACTGCTGATTACTTTTTTAAAAAGTAAACTTTAAAACTTGGTACCAGTGTTCACATTTTTCTCCCTTCTAGGATACTAAACTTCCTTCATCTGTTCGAAATACACTTTTGGAACTTTTTGGACAAATAGAGCGAGAGTTTGAGAACCTTTATATTGAAAATTTGGAATGTGAGTATGGTTTTTGTATAACTTGGGGAAAAATTATGTGGAATTAGATTATATGTAGGGTTTTTATTGTAAAATACTTTGTATGCTAGAAAGTTAGATACCCCTATTTAGTATGTTTCATTGTGAAGGTTTTATAAAGAGCTCCGAATGCTTTGGAAACATATGCCTAAATTGGAGTCTGCCCCTTCTCTGAAAAAGTGCTTTGGGATCTTTTCCACAGGGCTAGGACTAGTTTTGTGGCTTGTCCTGAAATGTAGAACTCTGGCACCAGGGTGCTCATTAGCCACCATATTGAAGAATGGTTTTGAATAAAAGGAAAGCTAGTGTCTCCTAGGGATGTAAAAATATATCTTATTGTCTCTATATAAAACCATGCTACACCCACATCTTGAATACTGTGTACAGATGTGGTCACCTCATCTCTATAAATATATATTAGCATTGAAAAAGGTTCAGAAAGGGGCAACAAAAATGATTAGGGCTTTGGAACAAGTCTCATATGAAGAGAGATTAAAAAGACTGGGAGGTTTCATCTTAGAAAAGAGGAAACTAAGGGGGAGATGATAGAGGTCTATAAAATATGACTAGTGTGGAAGATGTAAAAAAGGAAAAGTTACTTACTTGTTCCCATAACATAAGAACTAGGGATCACCAAATTAAATTAATAGGTAGCAGGCTTAAAATAAACAAAAGGAATTTTTTCTTCACATATCACACGGCCAGCCTGTGGAACTCCTTGCCAGAGGAGGTTGTCAAGTCCAGGAATTTAACAAGGTTGAAAAAAGAACTATAGAAATTCATGGAGGTTAGGTCCATCAATGGCTATTAGCCAGGATAGGTAGGAATGGTGTTCCTAGCATCTGTCAGAGACTGGTAATGGATGACAGGAGAGGGATCATGTGATGATTCCTTGTTCTGTTCACTCCCTCTGGGACATCTGACATTGGCTACTGTCGGCAGTCAGGATACTGGACTAGATGGACCTGTGGTCTGACCTGTGGACCTGTCTGTTTTTATGTTCTAAGCGGACTGTGGAAACTGCCTACAGCAGCAAGAAGAGAGATACCACGATAAAGTTCTGGCATGGTCCTTGCAACCCATCTTCTGCCCCTGCAGAAGAAGTTTTACCAGAGTCACAGAGGGGGGCTTCCAATCATGTCACGGAACTGCAGATATGATCTTCATTGAATGGCAGCTGCAAGAAAAGTGGTCTGGAGCAAAACCGACCACTGACATGTTTTTTATTGATCTAACTAAAGCCTTTGACTCCGTGATTTGCTGTGTCCTTTGGGCTGTACTTTCAAAGGTTGGATGTCCTGATGAAATACATTAATGTCCTAAAGTTGTTTTGACAACATGAAAGTGACTGTTCTGAGCAGCACTGGCTCCCAGAGTGAATCTTTCAAAGTATAAACAGAAGACAAACAGCGCTATATCATTGCCCCAACTGTGTTGGCAGTCTTTATTGCTTTCATTTTTTGCCTAATTGCTGGGAAGCTCCTAGCTGGTGCTGAAATCATCTACAGAATAGAAAGATATTTAGGCTCAGCAGGCTGAAAGCTAAGAGTAAACTTCAGTATGCTGATGATCAGGGCTCGACAATTAATGCAATCTACTCGGCTGTGGTGAGTAGATTACAAGCCGGCACAGCCGCACAGCGCGGTCTGCGCATGCACAGCTTGCTGAACTGCATGGCTGGCGAGTGGGGCTCGCCGCAGCTTAGCGAGCCCTGCTGATGACAATGCATTTTTTGCCTATTCTGAGAGATCTTCTTTTGAATGTTTTTGCTGATGCTTATGTATGTCTTGATCTCACCCTTAACATAAAGAAGAGCAAAGTGCTCCATCAGTCCTCTTCAAATGAGGTACTGTACTCATCTATTAAAGTCAACAGAGAGGCACTGGAGAATGTCGATCATTTTCTCTACCTTGTAAGGTTTCTTGCATCCAAGGCAGATATTGATGTTGGAATCCAACATTGTCTGATCTGTGCCAGTGCAGCCTTTGCTCATTTATAGCACAGGATTTTTGAAGATCATGACATTTGAACAGACACCAAACTTCTTGTCTATCAAGGTGTCATTCTCCTAACACTATTGTATGGGTCTGAAACCTGGACAACCTACAGACATCACTTGAAATTCCTTGAGAGGTATCACCAACACTGCCTCTGCAAGATTCTTTAAGATCAACTGGGAAGACAAGTGTACTAACGTTAGTCTTCTGGAAGAAGTAAAGACCACTAGTATTGAGGCAATGATCATCTGTCAGCAACTTCACTGGACTGGTCACATTGTTCGGATGCCAGACCATCGCCTCCCAGAACAGGTCCTGTTTTCTCATCTGAAAGAAGGATACTGTAAGGTGGGAGAACAACGGAAGAGTTATAAGGAGTTGCTAAAGGATATCTTATAGAAGTGCAACATTGACGTTGACATATGGGAAACATTCGCCAAGCATTTCTCAAAATGTAGACAAGTCCTATGCAATGGCTCTTTGCATTTTAAATTTGCCTGCTGATAAACTGAGGAGGAGAAGAGATGCAAGAGAGAGACTGCCTCCTAGTTGTGGTCATCACCCTCCTGCTGTACCCGGAAATATTTGTCCTCCTCGTAATCCTTGTGGTTCAAGGATCGGCCTTGTAAACCTTCAGGTAGCTGATAACTCCCATGTAAGATGATCATACTCAGCAATGAGCGATTGCCAATCATCGGTGGGGATATAAAGTCCTGGTTAATCAGTTAACCTGTTAAATGTTAGGTTGGCCTAACATTTAACCGGTTAACCATCTAAGTGGGATCCCAAGTGGACTGGAGTGGCTCCTGTCCCTAGCCCCATGCTGGGGCTGTTGTGCACTCTCCGCAGACAGGGGCTTCTGCAGAGAGAGTAGACGGGCTGCTGCAGGTGAGAGCAGACAGGGGCTGCTGCAGATCCACAGTGTTCACCCTGTGGGTCTGGAGCAGCCTCCTGCAGATGGAGAGCTGCTCCAGCCCCCACCTGCTTAGGGTGATGCTTACTGGTTAACCTTTCACATCTCTAGTAGACACCCATATCATTCATCTGCAAGATTGAGAACCTTTAGAACTTTTTTAATTTGGAGTAACTGGTAGCAACAGTAGATGGCCATCCTCTATGGCTGTGTCTAGACTGCAGGGTTTTTTCGAAAAAAGTAGCCTTTTTTCGAAAAAACTTCACCTGCGTCTAGACTACAGCCACATTCTTTCGAAATTAAATAGAAAGAACGTGGCTTTTCTTTCGATGGCGGTAATCCTCATTTCATGAGGAATAACGCCTTTTTTCGAAAGTGTTCTTTCGAAAAAAGGCATTGTTGAATGCAAACAGGGCTTTTTTGAAACAGAGCATCCAGACTGCCTGGGTGCTCTTTCGAAAAAGTGGCTTGCAGTCTAGATGTAGCCTATAAGAGGGCTGGGCAAAATCTGGTTCAGGGCCCAGACCCGGCCTGCCAAGCATTTTTTCTTCAGCCCACTCAGCTGATTAGGAGAGAGTGCATACTTCCTCCAACCTTTCTCCACTCTGTAACAGAGCTGCTCCCAGAAGTCTCCTGTTAGCTATGTAGAGTGGGGGAAGAAGGGCAGAATGGAGGAGAGAGTGGAGTGCTGAAATCGGGTGTGTTTCTGCACAGCAGGGATTCAGC